AGAAGAAATGATGAAGGAATACTTGTTGAAGTAAAAGAAAAAATAGAGGGAAACGGAAGAAGAAGAAGAAGAAGAAGAAGAAGAAGAAGAAATTTTAATTTGGTGAAATTTGATCTGAAACTTTCCCTATAATGTTCGATTTAAGTGATTAATGTAGAAGTGTTGAATTAACTGAATTGAAAAAGAAGAAGATTATATTAAAAATGACTGGTTTAGAAAATAAAAACAGTTTCTTTTTCCAGATTATGTGATATACATATTGATGTAGATGAAGATAAGAAAAACGAAATAACTAAGAAAAAGAAAGAGAGAAGGAAACGTTATAAGCACAAAAGATAAAACATGATTTTTTGTATTTCTTTTGGGGATTTAGAAAAATAAAATATTGGGAAGAGTCATAAGTAATTTCCGTTTTGGTGACTGAATTGTAATGACAAATGCATCATCTGAACTAATCGTTCGTTAAATATGCCATAACAGGCGATGAAAAATGGGTTGCATACAACAATGTTCAATGTAAAAGACAGTGGATGATAAATCTCTACAACCGACCTCAGAAACCGAACACCATTTAAGAAAGGTAATATTGTGCATATTGTGGGAATATTGGGGTATTATGCATTTAGGATTCTTAAAATGCTATGAAAAAAACAAATGTTCCACAGCTACAACATATCCATAAAAGTTTGATTGAAAAGCGACCTGCGCTCATCAATAAGAAAAATGGTGTTCTCCTCTATGACAACGCGAAACGGCATAGTAAGCATCCATTCATCACGTGAGATAAAGGTAGCGCTCTATTTGGTCAAAATTCAGTCCTTTGGTGGTGAGAATGAAGTGACCTCTTGAGGGCGCAGGCCTAGGTGATAATATTTGGAAGTTGTGCGCTGCCCAGACTACATAGCCCACCTCTCAGTCGTACCAAAAAGATGCAAAGGAACACAGAGCATTATATTTGGGGCCAGCGTTGCTGCAGGGGTTGCCGAAATGTTGTCAGTGTGGACAGCTAACCGTCTTCGCGGCTCCACTCCAGGTTTTCTGATGGGATTTACTTCCATAGCCTTTTCCATTTAAGGATCTGACCGCAAGGCCACGGAGGTTTCAAATCAGGATGTTCCTTTTCAGTGATGGATTGCCTTCCTGGGATGTCGCGCTCCATACAGCCAGAATAACACATAAAAAAATTGGAACTCCGTTGCTTTGTTGTACCTGACCCGTAACATTCAACCGGCCTTGTACAAACCGATTATCTATCTATCTATCTATCTATCTATCTATCTATCTATCTATCTATCTATCTCAGTCTCTTCATATCTATCTATCTATCTACTTTCTTTTTCACCATATCGCATTCTCTTTATATTACATTCATAAACATTTCCTATTTGTTTCTTATTCTCTCTATCTCTCTCTCTCACACACACACACACACACACACACACACACACACACACACACACACACACACACACACACACATCCTCTTGGAATATTTTATTCAAAAAAATATATATGTATGTGTATGCATCTATGTATATATATTTATATATTTTGCATATGTATGTGTATATTTACTAACTAATATTATATATATATATATATATATATATATATATATAAAGAAAGAACAGTAAGATATATAATCCGGTGTTCTTATAGATATTTTATTTTTACAAAATAGTGCTCAATGTAAATTTACAGAGCATTAATATTATAAATTAATTGATTTAAAATATGGGTTTTTCGCTACACAGTTCTAACCATGTTTCAAAAATGGAAGCTAAAAGCCCCGAATTTAATTTTGTAATTAAATTAAAGACATTAGTTTCATTTCATCCTCAAGCGAATTTTTGAGTAACTTTTAAAATTACTGGGTTTTAAATACACATCTAAAACAAAATTCATGTTTCCAAGGTTACAGATAAATCTATTTTGCTAGACAAGGGGTGACTGGGTGTTCAATATGTCTATATTTTAATGTATCAGTTATTGCTACGTTTTGGTAGTGGATAGTGATGTATTTTTCAATGAAATCTAACATCCGTTAAAAGCGTGTCGATAGTATATTAAACATTAAAAGTAAAAATATTTAAAATCGTAGTTAAATAAAAAGTATTCTTACCTCCCCCACCACAAAAAAAAATCTTCAAATATACGAAGGAAAAAATGCCGTAAGAATTTTAGCCGTTAACAATAAAATTTTAAAAAAATCCAAACGACACGCTTTTAACGAATTTGGGTAAATCATAGGACAGACTGGGTTCTATAGCCTTGGATAGTAACTGGTCTACTTCAGAAAGAAATGGCAACCTACTGCGGGAAAAGAATCTGTCTCGTCAGTCATATATCGAAAGATACATGATCGCCTACACATGTATCACGCATGGCACATAACTGACTGATTATGTATGGGGTAGCCAATAAGAATAATAATTACTACTCAATAGTAGTAAATCAACCAGACTAACTTCATTAACTATAAACATATGAGTAGAACTGTTACTCTATCATTAGCAATACAGCAAGTGACAAAAGCAAAAGACAATGGTAGCAGCAGACAGATCAATACACTGCCTAACATGGGCAATTTTGGTTGATTAATTGCTAAGGATATCATGGACCGAGCATGTGAGCAATGATGAGGTCTTAGAGACGTCACAACCTACTGTGGGAAAAAATCTGCCTCGTCAGTCATGTATCGAAAGATACATGGTTGCCTAAGCATGTATCACATATGGCACATAACTGACTGAGTAAGGAAGAAAGACATTTAATCCAATGTCTATAAGGCAGCTGTCATGATACACACACAAGCGATCATCTTTTAATAAACTTAATTAAAGCTAAACGCTTCTCATGCCACCTAACGACAAATACTGAAAGAACTCTTTGGTCATTCTATTACACTTTTGTGTTGTCAAGTCCGCTGTGCTTGGTAAGTGTCAAACAGATACGTCTTTTTCAGATGGGTAGGTATCCAAGTGGTTCAGATTTAAATTAGGATTCTTTTCTTTTTTTTCTTTTTTTCCTTGATGGCTTTCAACCGGTCACATAGAGATTGTTTTTGTTTTCTCGTGACATGTTGGGGTCAAGTTACGTCCGTATTAAATCCTCCTCCAAGCAAAGCTTATCCATGCGTGTGCGTGAGCGCTAATTACACACGCGATAAGGGTCAGTAAAGCGTGTGCTCGCGTGTGCGTTCCATGAACACTCATACATACACATTCATGCACACAAACAAAAACACGAACACACATATCATCGCATTTCCGATTGGTGCCACTGAGGTCAATACCATAATTTCTGAGTGCTGACGGGACATCTCTACTTGGAAGTTCGGAGCAACATAATCTTCCATCACTCACTAGAGATGACTCAACGTAAGTGTCCGCCTGTTCATGAAATATTTGTAGAATAATACACGATTTCAGTTGGACCCATAATAGCTGGCGCACTTGGAGTGTGAAAAATCAATAAAATCGAGATAAAATGAATTTAAAGATTCGAGACATGATTAAAACTCTCCTAAAAACCACATTATTGTTCGGTGAAAACAGCTAGGAAGCTGTTGCCATTGAGTCTCTTTTTATAACCACGCTGGTTTATTTGGTTTATTTTGTTTTACGGCTTATCAATCTCAATGGGTTATTTAATGCCGACAAGGTTTTTTTTTAGGATAGGTTCGTATGAATAGAATATGTATTGCTGGTAATTTTTTTTTTTTTTTACAAAAATGTATTAATGACTAGCAGTAGAGCCCGGCGTTGCCCGGGGATATAACAGTAAGAGATAGATCAAGTATCCACCATCATAAAGACTGAAAAATAAAATTGACAAAGATTATTGTTTAAGGTTGACGGACACGCATGTCTTAATTATTTTTTTTTTTTTTTTTTTTACGAATTGGTCAAACCCAAACTCAAACAAAAACATTGTCTCCCGATGGAATAGAATAATTTTATAAACAATTGTCTTGTAAATGGAATTTTTAAAGCATTCTGAATGTAAAAAAAAAAAAAAAGTGCAAGACAATAAGAAACACTAGATGCCAAAAAAAAAAAAGTGAAGTTTTGTTGAAATCGGTTGAAAATGTAGGTAGCCTTTCTGTAATCTTTTAGTTTTACAATTTATGATTTTTACTTATTGAATACAGTAAAAAAATTGCATATTTTGCTTGTGGTGATTCATAATTAAAATTCTGATTTGAATATATTTTCCAGTCGTTGTTTCTAATACAAAAAATATTAACTTTATTTGGGTTTATTAATTATGATCTAACAAATCTTATTCATTTAGTAGCCTTTATATAATAATAATCTTTTACAATTTATGATTTTTACTTATTGAATACAGTAAAAAAATTGGACACCATGTGTATTTAAAGTAGTTTCCTCTTCCGGTTATTATTTTTAGTTAGGACTTGTGTATGTTTAGATTTCATTATCTTTCCCTAAAGATAAAGAATTTATCCGATGTTTGTATTCGTACAATCAGTAGAGATCGTTAGATTATTGTTTAAGGTTGACGGACACGCATGTCTTAATTAGTTTTTATTTTTACGAATTGGTCAAACCCAAACTCAAACAAAAACATTGTTTTCAATCGTTATGAGTCTCCCAATTGAATAGAATTTTACTATAAATAATTGTCTTGTAAATGGAATTTTTAAAGCATTCTGAATGTTAAAGAAAAAAGTGTGCAAGAGAATAAGAAACACTACCTGCCAAAAAAAAAAAAAAAAGTGAAGTTTTGTTTTATCGGCTGAAAAATATAGTAAATCCGCTCCCATATTTAAAGGAACCCACACACAAACAACCCGATGAGTTGTCCCCTTCCATTTTCACGATGTCTCTTAATCGTGTTTTCAAATTGATTTTGTGCAAAAACAATTATATTTTCCCAATTTTTTGGCGCTGTTAGAACCACCACAAGGTAATTTTATGTAGTCCTGTGAAGTTTTGTTGAAATCGGTTGAAAAATGTAGGAAATCCGATCCAATATATAAACGTTACAGACACACACACACACACACACACACACACACACACACACACACACACACACACAATCTGCGTTTATAATAATAAATATTTTTTTCAAAAATGTATTCCTGGTATTTTACTGAAAAATGTATTTTTATACTTTCATAGTGTTTGGACCCCAGTTTGAGGGTTAACTATTTGTCCATAGCTGAGACCCAAACATGTGCTACCACCCGGGGTCAAGTTGGACCTTGGAACAACAGCAATTAGGAGGTGGTTCCACATTTCGCAAAACTACCGGATCAGAGGTCTTGCTGCTGGATGCATACCCAGGATGCCTCATTCAGGGTGTTTTACCTGTCTGTTGAGGTGCAGTCAGCGTATTCTGAAGCCTCAGCCGACAGGGCGAGATGAATTTTAATTCCTAACTCTTCTTAATGATTGAATAAGCTCATGGCGAGTTCTACGGTGATAAAATATCCGTATAAATTCTCCTATCGCATCGTTAAATATTTGAGGTTTAACAAAACATTGCGATAACAATCATAAATATTAATGCTGGTCATTATTTTAAGAAATGGGTAAAAATGAAAAGATTTAAAGTTGACAAATATTTCCATTTCACTATCACAAACCCGTTAAACACGTCTCTCTTTCCTTTTGTCACTAAAACCAAGTAGTGTCTTTTCCTCTCTTTCTGTGCAATCAAAAGGGAATAGTCCATTATTTATGAGGTATTGGCAAGAGTTAGCTAGCACTCACTCACTCACTCACTCACTCACTCACTCACTCACTCACTCACTCACTCACTCACTCACTCTTTCTTTCTTTTCTTTCTTCCTTCCTTCCAAATCCCCATCTTACGAACAAATGATTTAAAAATAATTCAGCAGACGGTGTTATTTTCTTTAATTTATATTGTAATTGGACTTTGCGCCTTAAAAATGGCGGTTTTATCAGTCGCCATCAATTCTTGGCCTTTTGACTGGGATCAAAGTGTAGTATCTGTTATTACCGCCTTAATCTGGTTCTTGCTCTCTCCACTTTTATCTTACTTTCCTTCGTTCTTCTTTCTT